TAATATAATCATAGTCATAACCCCGTATAGCCTGAGACAGATATGCTTGGAGCTCCTCTGTGGGTTCCTGAAGCCATGGCATGGCATGGCATAATCATAAGCAAGCATAATCATAAGCAAACATAATCATAAGCCCAGCAGAAAAGGACCTGGGAGTGCTGGTCGACAGCTGCTGAACATGAGCCAGCAGTGTGCCCAGGTGGCCGAGAAGGCCAATGGCATCCTGGCCTGTATCAGAATTAGTGTAGCCAGCAGGACCAGGGAAGTGATCTGCCCTGTCGTGGCACCAGTGAGGCCACACCTCAAGCACCGTGTTCAGTTCTGGGCCCCTCCCTGAAAGAAAGACATTGAGGTGCTGAAGCAAGTCCAGAGAAGAGCAACAGAACTGGTGAAGGGACTGCAATGTAAGACATATGAGGAGTGGCTGAGGGAGCTGGGAGAAAAGGAGGCTCAGGGGAGAGAGACCACATCACTCTCTACAATTACCTGAAGGGAGGTTGTAGTAAGGGAGCAGTCAGCTCTTCTCCCAGACCGCTAGTGACAGGACAAGTGGAAATGGCCTCAACTATGCCAGGGGAGGTTCAGGTTGGATATCCAGAACAATTTCTTCCCTGAAAGAGTGGTTAAGCATTGGAATGGGCTTCCTAGGGAAGTGGTGGAGTCCCTGGAAGTGTTCAAGAAACAACTGGCCATGATGGTTAGTGCTGTGGTTTAGCTGACAAGGTGGTGTTCTTTCAAAGACTGGGCCCAGTGATCCTGGAAGCGTTTTCCAACCTTAATGATTCTATGATTCTATAAACCAGCCACTGATAATAAAGAATTTTAATTGTTCCTGTTTTTCCTTTTGAAAGACAATTACAGAAACTCTTGTGTCTGAGACATCATGCTAATGACTATCTAATATTTCATCTAATATTCACCATCATACTACCGAGTTTCAAAATTTCCTAAATCTAGTGTTCAAGATCTGATTTCCAGTGCTTCAAACCTATGTACCTCATTCTAGCACAAAGAATGTTATTAAAACTGAAAATAAGATCAGACCTGAAACAACCCTCCTTGCAATCTCCCTCCAGGCTGAAGAAGGGTTTTGAACAATGCATGCATATTATATACCACTTAAAGCTCCTTTGAATATCCTCTTCTCTGTGGTGTGTTTTTATTTCACATTAGATATAGCCCTATAAGAAATACTTTACTTAAACTCCAGATCAAATATCCACCTATTTTCTGTTTTCTAGAAGATCAGGTATCTTATCAAGACAAAAATATTTCTTTAGATTAGTAGATTTTACCCAGCTGCTATTTCGTCCCAGTTTTTACTTACTTTCAAGCCCTTAATGATTCTTTCAAAATAATATCATACAGCATTGCATACTAGTGAGTTCAGACTAAAGGGTCTAATTTACTAGATGACTCTCTTAATCCGTTATTTTCATCCATTTCACTAGAAGTGAAAATTTTCATCTCTGTGCCCAGCATTACATAGCTGATAGCTAACGGTATGCAAGGCTTGCAATAGAAAAAAACTATTAAAGTTGATCTTGCAGTTACTCCCAGAGAACAACAACAAATTAATTTATCCCCTTATTAAGGAGGTTATTGAGGGCAAAGCTGTCTGCATTTAACTACTGTCTGTCTCTTTTCTGCATGGATATTTCCTATTAGTGCACCATGTTTTAATGTACTATTAGCCTAAAATCAATATTTGGGGATTATATTAACAGTTTAGCTTTCCTAACTGTGTTCCTGTGAGAAAAAGTAGTGAAAGAAAGATGAAGATTAAATTGTTAAGATATAATTCATCTTCCTGATTCTAATGCATGATTCTTTCATGCTGCTTATCCCAACTAATGAAAGTCAGCTTTAATTAGTTTTTGAGATTTGACACAAAAGCCTTCACAAAGAACTGTATAAAAACATTTTCTGAAAGCAAAACCTTGCTAGTATTATTTGAAAATGCAAGAAATGAGAAAGATGTGACTAAAGTGGTAGACACATAGGAAGGAAATATATTAGAATTCAACTAAATTTTAATTTTACACAACACACTTTTAACAGTACATTTTAGATATGCTTCTCTGTACGAAAACCACAAAATCTGGCTAAAGAACAAAGAGTGGTTGAGGCAAAGTTTGGATATATGACACTAATATCTGACCTTTTCTTTTTGTCCCCTATCCAGAAAAGATTAAGTTATGTTGCATTCACAGTAATAAAGGTGGTCAGTATTCCATTTCTTAAATTCAGTAGTGAATTGGTTTACATTTCTAAGGCTATGAATAGGTTTTCAGCACATTTTATTTTGAAGAAAAATAAAAAAAAATCTGATGTCTGAGGTTTATTACCTGACCACATATACGTATTCCAACATGAAAATTATGGGATGATTTATATTTTAATTTAAAGTCTAATGTATATTCTATTAACTTCAGCCCTGTATATAATTATTTTCATAGCCAAATATACTTGCTATCAAATTGCATTCAACTTTGTCCACTGGTAAAAACGAACTTTAATATTAATTCAGCAAACTTTCTACTCTCCCATGTTACTGTTATTTTTAAACGTCCAGAGGCACAGGGATGCAGGCACTCAGAAAAATACTCTATGTCATTTTAGGACTGCCAATATTGGAAACTTTGGGAAGTTTATACTAAAACATGAAAAAGTGCTAGGACCCAGACCAGATCACTGGAACTCAATAATCCAGACAGCTAAATATCTGAGTCAATTAAGAGTCAGTCACAACTCTTACAAACAATTTGCACTATTTGGAGGGTAGCATGAGTCAAAGACCATTCCCTCTTGGTGTTTAAGATGCAACTATTCTGTTTCAGAAGATAAGATGATTTTACAACATCAGTGTAATTGTATCAGTTGAACATGAGCCCAGAAAATGGGTTCTAGTATTTTTTATTTCTGTGACAGAGGTACCTTCTGAGGTCACACTGGTTGGTGGCCTATCTGTTTAGGTGTATTGGGCAAACAATCATAAATTATAAATGATTGCTTTTTTATATTACCAAAAAATTGAATTTATTATTTTGGAAAATTAATGCAGGACTTGAACTACAATTAAAAGAACAATGGGTTTGGGTTTAACCATTTGAAATAAGACTAAAAGGCAGATGGCAACTGGAATTTTGAAAATAATATATGATCTGAGTGTCTAACTGTATTTTTCTACCAGAAAACAGCACAAACCTGTAATTATTTATAGTTCTTTCAAGATAAAAGGTTAAAAAGGTTCTGCAGATTATACCTGCTACAAAGATTCGTGCCAATAGCCAAGAAACCACTGTTCTAATGTTAATTGTCATCATTTTAAAATTACTAAATTGACTTGAAAGATTTCAAAAAGAATATCACTGAATCCCAACTAATGTATATGAGCACATAAGTACAAAGCAGAACTCAATAGGGACTGAATATATTAAGAATAAAATCACTCACACATTAGCTAACATTGCTTGGCCAAACAGCAAGGGTTTCTGTTTCATCAATTTTTTTAACAGAAAGTTTGGGTTACATTAATTATTAATGAGAAGGCAGAAAGTTGAATAGAAAATGCTTACTAATTTAAGTCTACTTTGGAAAAATAAGCTGAAGGAATGGTAGAGTTGAAAACATTAAGCAACAATAGGAATCGTGGCAATGAATAAAGACAAAAGACTGGAAGGGTGAATGCCGCATGTGTAAATTTCAGAACCAACATCAGGTGATTTTATCCCTCCTTAAATTAAACCTGATGACACAGGGTTATCTGTTTTATCATACATTTTTGGTCTGTTAATATTATTTAATGATTAGAAAGAAGTAGATAAAGCAGTGTCTCCATGTTCTTTTGAGTGGAAAAAGCTCCAGTCTCTTACCCAAATTTTTGGTACCCTGAAAAAAGAAAAGCTTGTTATGTTTCCACTTTGATTTCTGCTGAACTCCTTCCAATTAGAGACCATATCACCTTGGTGGTTATCACTAATAAATGCCTTTACAATTACTTTCCACAAAGGACTGACAGGAGTCTTGAAAGGGGACAGAATTTTTTAAGATAAAAATCTAGGAGTAGAATCCTCTGGAAGACCCCAAAGCTATACATTACTTTAAAATTTTTAGTGTAAATAATCAAACACAATAATTTACTTCATATACTCCATGTACAACAGTCAAACTTGTCCACAGAGGCAGCTTCCTGCCAATGATTTTTGCAACATCCAAAATGCCTTTGCAAATGTAGGTAAGAGCATTTAACCGTGTTTTTCTATAGCAATTAATTAATTAAGGAAGAATCTTTGATTTTCTGTGATTGTCACATATTCTCATACATATAAATCACAGATTAGTATTTACCAGTGCACATATGCACTTCAAAAAAAAGCTTTCACTATAAACTTTTCTAAGTTTTCTCTTTCTCAGTCTACAAATGTTTTTACAGTAAGTTTTTAACTTGCTCTTTTACAATTTACTTATTTCTCCACTTTAGTGACTATGTCCAGGAAACTTTGGATTTTTTTACATTTACAAATGTAGCCTCCATTGTTTATGGATTTTTGAAAAGTGTATTCATAGTATTCAAAAAACGCAACCACCCAGAAACACCACTTGATGGAAAATTGGGGAGAGTTTACTTTAACTTGGCTTATATATTCTGTAACAGCTCATAAAAAAATCAAACTCTGGGTCTGATGCTGTTGAACAGTACTGTGCACGTTTGACCTTAAAAATGCCTGAATATTCCAGTCTCTATGTAAAATATACTTCTCTAGGATTCTGCTATGGGAGGTAGGTCATGTATAAAAAGTAATGTACTTTACTTTTTGTGTGATAGGATTTTGTGTGGTTTTTTTGACTAGTTAGAACAAACTAGAGTCTACCAGTGTTTTGGATATGTATGAGTCATTAAATAGCAGTATATATTAATATACAGATATTCTGCTTTTAATCCAAACTTAATTATCTTTGAGAATATTTGATTTTAAAACAACTTTTTGAACACCTACTTGAGGTCTTGGGAAGGTTCTGCTCTGATATGGGGTGTCTCCACAGAGTGCCCAAACACTGCCCCTTCTGTGCCTAAAATACATAAATAAAACACAGTACAATTACTTTGGAAAATAAAAACACATTGAAATATATGACCACAAATTGACAATTTTAGGACAAATATCTGAACAAATCCTTTATTATGATTATAAATGTTTCTTCATATTTATGTTTTCATTTCTATATCAAAATCTGGACCAACTTCATGTGCAACTTTAGACTTCTGCTTGTCAGAATATGAATTTCACATACAAAACTGAAAACACTTATAGATAAAAATTTTTCAGCAACAATTTGCCTGAATGTTTATCTCAAAACTTTTTAGAATGGTTGTTTTACAGAAAATGAAAATAATATCGCAGGTTTCTGTGACAAAAACACATTAGAGAAATATCTACTCTATCTTGCATTATGGTTATTTTTACTACTTAAACTGAGATGCCAAGCCTTCAAAAGTTTTGAAATAACAGTCTACTCCCTGAAGTTGCTGGCTGAATCTCAATACCTGACAGTTTCAGAGTTTTTTTCCATCAGATCTTTCTCATTGAAAAGCTTTATTCTCAAAGAAATTAAAGAGACTTCTCTGGAATGTGTTTTGGATTTAGTGTTGGTAGTGAGCACTAAAGTATCTCCTACTGGGCGCTCAAAATCAAGGCAATGAAAATTGATAACGATTTCTTAAAACTGAATTGAATATCTACTGAATTTTGATTTCTATAACTAGGTCGAATTTGAAAAAGATAATTCCACATCTTTGATCAGATAACCAAGATTTTTCATTAAAAACTCCTTTTCAACGAAAAAAATAACATTCCGGTAAATTTTCAAGGAATTTATTGGAACAAAAGACAGCTGTTTAAATAATCAATTTTAAATGCATTTTTAAAGGAATATGGAAAAAAAGACAAAAATAATAATTATCTGATTATAGCAGGTTCTTTGTTAAAATAATAATAAACTCAGGAAATTGATACATAATGAACAGCACTATAAAATCAGCATTTCTCTTAACTCTCAGATGCAAGGTCTGAAGACATAAAAGTTGTTTATACCACTCAATTTATATTTAATAGATAGCACTAGCTTACCTATGTTCTTAGGCATCAAACTTCGTCTTCTTTTTTTTCCCCCTGAACTATCATCATGCCTATTTTTGTTTACTGATTTGCCCAATGCCATTATTTTTGTCGTCCATTAACTTTACATAAACTTAACTTTCCTTCTCTGAAGATGGTGACTGGTGTGCTGGTTTCAGCAGGGGCAGAATTAATTTTCTTCACAGTGGCTCATAAGGGGCTGTGTTTTGGATTTATGTTGAACACGTTGATAATATAGAGATGTTTCTATTATTGCTGGGCAGTGCTTACACAGAGCCAAGGCCTTTTCTGCTTTTCATACTGCCATGCTGGTGAGGAAGTTGGGAGGTTGGGAAAGACACAGCCAGGACAGGTGACCTAAACTGACCAAAGGGATATTCCACACCATATGACATCATGTTCAGTATATAAAGTGCAGAGAAGAAGGAAGAAGGGCTGGGGGGACGTTTGGAGTGATGGCGTTTGTCTTCCCAAGTCACTGTTAGACATGGTGGGGCCCTGCTCTCCTGGGAATGGTTGAACACCTGCCTGCCCATGGGAAGCAGTGAATGAATTCCTGCTTTGCTTGTGTGCGTGGCTTTTACTTTCCCCATTAAACTGTCTTTATCTCAACCCAAGAGCTTTCTCACTTTTACCCTTACGATTCTCTCCTTGATCCTGCTGGTGGGAGAGTGAGTGAGTGGCTGTGTGGGGCTTCGTTGCTGGCTGGTGTTAAACCACAACAGCTGGGCATTGTGTAATGCAAATAGCGTAAAACTATTGAGTGAATGTGTTTCCAACAGAGAATCACCAGCAAAGGTGAAAGAACTGAAATAAAAATTTATCTTCTATCAAAATAAAATCAAGAAAACTTTCTGGCATCACAATTGAGTCTGGGATTAATTGTCATATTTCAACAACAGAAGCTTTCTCGTGTTCGGAGCCTTGAATTCTGAGTAAATCTGAAAATATATCTACAGTATCTCACAGCAGCTGTGTAAGAAGTGCTCAACACAACAGAGGCACTACCATAATTACTACAATATTTAAAAAGCATAAAGTATTTTCAATTATTTAAGTATTTAAATATTTCACAAGTTTGGTGTTTTGGGTTTTTTTTCAGAAATTTGGCTGTCAATGAAGATAATTATTTAGCTATTTTTACAGTTAACTAATAATATTTAGTTAACTGATCTTTGATCTTACCAGGATTCGAAAGCAGAATGAGGTTATAAATGTTGAACTGATAATACCATTTTACAGTGTTAATACTGTTCTTGCCTGAGCAAGAAGCCAAAAACAAATCTGAGTGAACTTTAAACTGTTAATAATTTTCTAAATTCCACCTTCATTAAAAGAAAAAAACCTAACTAACCAACCAACCAAAAAAACCAAACCAGAAAAATATCTTCATTGTAGAATGGTCTACTAGTATGGAGCATCCAAGAGAGGAAGAGAAGATTTCTGAGAGTAATGAATTACATTCTTAGTTTTTTATCTCCAGAAATCTATAACCTTTACAAATATCTTGGCAAAGAACACTGGAAACAATTTTATTATAGGTCTTCCTTTGAAGATCTCACAAAGAAACTAACAAAATCCACTATCTATAATGAAACTTTGCTGACTGTTGTGGAGAACCACAGGAAGGAAAAAAAACCAGCATCTATTTTTTCGTAAAAGTATTCAAAGAGGTGCTGTGCAGAATCAGTTTTTTAAATCTGAGATTGACTTGCAATTCTTCCACCTTTAAGAGGTAGGAATAGCATGTCTATATAGCCAGACCTTGTGTCACTCAAAATAAAGCTCAACCTCATCCATAATGAAACTATGGGAGCTGAACATCCAAAATCAGTGTGTGCTTCCAGATCCCATTCATCTTTTCCATCAGTAAAATTAAATGCTTTCAAGGCCAAGGGCATTTTGTATTTTTGAAGGTGACAGTGGGATATGAAGATGTAAATAACTGAGCAGAATGCAGAGTTGTCAGTCTTTGCTTATGAGAAGACCATGTCTGTAACATTTGAAAGAGCATTATCAAAGCAAAGATGCACAAAACATCACTGTAGTATGAGCCAGACATTAAATCAACCAGAAGTATCAAAGATAATAGTCGGAAAAAACTGATAAAAAAAGTTAAATGACAGTTTGTTCTAAACGAGCTTTAGCATTTCCTCACTGTCAGCAGCGTTTGTTTAAAAGACGAGAAGGCAATTCTCTCTGAAGAAAATATAAATTTGGAAAGAAAGACCAAGCTTGTCCAAGCAGACTGGAAATCCAGGCATGTAAAATTACAGATAAACTGATATAATTTAATAAAATATAGTTAAAGCTAATACCAGACCAAATGTGCTCCTTGTGCTATTTAAAGATGCAATCCTTAATATGTTTTTTCATCTCATACAGCCTCAAAAGCAAAAGTACAACAGTCCTTGTGGCAAATGCTTTATCCTTAAAAAAAATGGCTTCAAGAATATCTTCAACTATAATATTCTTTTTTCCATTTACTATATGCAACTCTGTAGTACTTTTAATGGGAAGTTAAATTATGTAGTTCAGTACTGTTAAGAAATGGTGCTATGAACATACCTTTTAATGAATTATAAACATAACAATATAAATTCAGATTCAAAGGGAATAGCATGATTTTTTTTTTAATGAAAGAAATATACTTCAGGTATTTAATAATTTACAATGTTAAAATACTTATTTTTTACACAAATAAGAGACGATTCTATTAACTGTATTCCCTGCCTTACAAAATTATAACCAAGACCTACTTTGAGATGAGTGAAATTCTAGCAAGAAATGAAACATACAAAATAAGGAATAAAAAGAAAAGACTTTAACCTTCAAGCTCTTTCAAGTATAGCTCAAAAGGAAGTAGTTAGGGAAGTGAATTCAAAGGAACGTGAGTTGGAGTGGATAACTATAAAAAGTGAATCTTTTAGAGGAAATTAAATAGCAAGAGCATGGAGTAGGTGCAAAGGATGTGAAATCAAAACTATAAGTGGAACTGAATAAAATTACACCTCCAGCTTCCGTTGGAAGAGAATGAATCAAGACTTCACGAAGAAAGAAGTATCTGTGCAGGCAAACTACTGATCAAAGAATATCAGTTGTTATAGAGGTTGCTAGAGAAAACTTAGTAAATAGCCTGAATCAGGTAAAAAGGCCAAAAGTTCAATTCTGTATTTATAGAGAAACCTCTTTATGCATAGCTGATTCATGAACACTAGACCTTTAAAATTACTCTTTTTTGACCATTTCACTACAAGCAAAACCAGTCACATGTTCCTGCTGAAACTGAATATTCAGAATATTCAGAATATTGAGAGAGACCAGTGCAAACTACTAATTTCTGCTCAGTTTACTGGTTCCTGAAATATAGCCTTTGGGAAATGACAAGATTCATAAAACCAATGGAACAACGTTGGCATTTTGTTCTGGAATATATTTGTTTATGTATGTGCATGTTGAGGAAATTTTGTCATTTTTTTAATCAGCAAATAATCCTTTCATAGTTTATGGGTAGTTAGATTACATAACAAAATGGTACCTTTCAGAGGCTTAATAACCCACTAGGATGAAAAGACGGCCATCTGAGGGTTTTTTCTTTTTTTTGTGAAAAGAATCTGGCTGAAGAGTTGATAAGCTGAGAATGAAATATTTTGCTGTGGAAAATGACCCATATATTACCATTATCTCACTCCTTTACATCATTTTTGAAAGCAAATCACATGTACTGAAAATGGAATTGTGTACCATTTTGATGTGTACAAACCAGATGGAATTGCAGTGTCACAGCTGCAGCTGAACCTTACTGCCTTGATCTTTCACTAGATTTTTCAAAAACATCAAGTGTCTAAGACTATGCAACTACTAGATTGTAATGCCAATTTATCCTGTGAGTTAGAGATTTTAAGAAGAGTTTGTAAAATATTTATTATTTTT